TTTGGGGAATTTTGTGATAAAGACTGTCCAGGGAACTGCAAAGGCGGATGTGTACGAAGTACAGGGAATTGCAATAAATGCCAGAAAGATTGGTATGGACAGCAATGTTACTGCACTGGCATGTGCGGAGACCGCGAATGTGAAGTTTCAACAGGTCTATGTCACGAATGTCAAAGTGGTTACCACGGTGAGAAGTGTACAGAGAGGTGCCCTCCAAACTGTGACGATTCTGGATGCAATCGGTATGACAGTTCCTGTAATCATTGTAAGCCACAGTGGTTTGTAGAAAGAAAGCAATGTTCCTGCAGTGGTCATTGTAATGACCATGGTTGTAACACGGATTCCGGAATTTGCATAAACTGCGATCGCGGATGGTATGGGACAAAATGTAAACGTTCCTGTCCGATAAACTGTAATTCTAAAGGATGTGCGCGAGAGACAGGATTTTGCCATGAGTGCAAGGCTGGATTCTTTGGAAATAGATGTAAATGTACTGGTCATTGTGACTCTAACGGATGCGACAGAGATGGTCGCTGTGTTGCTTGTGATGGTGGTTATTCTGGAGATCTAGATGGTGCTGTAATTGCTTAAATAGTTGTCCAAAGCATTGTGCTGGATCTTTGCTTAAAAGTTGTCCAAAGTGTGCTGGACAAAATGGCTTTTGCAATGCATGTGAAGATGGATGGTTTGGGCAAAATTGTGAATGTTTTGGACATTGTATGGATACTTTATGTGAAAATAATGGCAAATGCAATAGTTGTAAGCTTAATTGGTACGGGCCAAACTGCAATATAAGTTGTCCAAAGCATTGTGCGAATGGTTGCAATTGGGACACTGGAAAATGTAATAAGTGCAAACCAGGGTGGTATGGTGAAACGTGCAATCAGGCCTGTCCTGAAAACTGTGCAAACGGGTGTCATCGAGAAAATGGAACATGTTTAGCCTGTAAGCCAAGCTGGTTTGGTGATACATGTGCATGCGGATATTGCAATAAAATGGCTGTCTAGAAAATGGAATTTGTCAATATTGTTCTTTTGGTAGTTTTGGTAAAAAGTGCTTAAGTAATTGTTCTGAAAATTGCTCTGAAAGAAATTGCGAAAGGAACAGCGGAAACTGCCTTGACTGTAAGAAGGACTGGTATGGTGATAAATGTACATGCAAAGGGCCATGTGGAAAAACTGGTTGCAACGCTCTGGTACATGTTTAAAGTGTGCTAAAGGATTATTTGGAAAACACTGTAGCAAAAACTGTTCTTCTCCTTTTTGTGCCGTTTGTGACAGAAACAGTGGTATCTGCGAAGTTTGTGTATCAGGACGATACGGTAAAGATTGCGAGAAACCGTGTCGTGAAAATTGCAAAAAGTCCAGATGCAAGAAAACAAATGGACTTTGTGTAGACTGCATTCCAGGAAAATATGGGGAATTATGTGAAAAAAACTGCAGCTTAAACTGTCATGATGATTTGTCATGCCGTCGTAGTGATGGTCACTGTCAAAATGGCTGTAAACCAGGCTACGAACCACCGATTTGTTCCTCTGCCCTTACCCAGACTAAAATGCAGACGATGATCATAATAATAATAACTGTTTCTGTGATTGGGTTTATAACGTTGATTTGAAACGAAGCAAAAACTTAGCCCAGCTCCAAACAGAATGCCGATAACACCAAGTTGAAATTTTTGGAACATTTTTAAAATCATTGAATACAAAGAATATTGAGAATGTAATAATTCCGAAATTTCCGAAATTAATATAACGTATTAATTTTTCTGTATTTCATATCTTTATGTTTTAGAAGACTAGTCAACATGGTATTTTTTCAGCATTATAAATCCAGCTTCTGATCTTGACAATTGATTGAGTAATACTCACATATAGTACTTATAAAGGTCTAAGTACGAGTGTACATGGATGACAATTATAATGTGTTCTAAGTTAAAGTTTTCTGAGATACTAAGAAAGTTGAGCGTCTCGTTAGAAAATCCGTATGATAAGATATATAGAATATATTCAATGTTTTGCAGTTGAATATGGAATTTATTTCACGAGTTAGACACGGTTTTTGATATTTTCATGAGTGCGAAGCACGAGTGAAAATATAAAAAAAACTTCTGTCTCACGAGTGAAATAAATTCCATATTCAACAACAAAACATTGAGTTTTCTGTTTATTACATTTTTAAAACAAAATCTTTGATTTTTCCTTTGACTCTGTCTTTTTGTAATACAGTTATAGGCTACATGACATCATAGTTGAGCGGTTGAGACGTCATAGCTAAGTGAGGTGAAAACACTATAAACATGGATTTAGCAACATATTTTTGGTACTTTTTGACAGTTTTATTCGCTGTCAGAATGGTTTATTTATTTCCATCTATCTTTTATTAGGTCAAGGAAGATTTATTTTACAACAATCTTCGTTATGGGAAGGGAAATCGAGAGTTTCCCCGCACTTCTGATATTTGTCACACTGTGACAGGATATCATTTTGATATCCTTTCACACTGTGACAGAATATCATTTTTATTCAATGAATAAATTACAGTATTTCACGGGTAAAAATGTAATAAATGATGATAAACTGTGTAACTGTGTTCGTTTTTGAGTGCCATGGAGCTGATAATGAAAAAAACTACTTTAGACACTTCCCGTTTTTGTAATATAGTCATCCATGTACACTCGTTTTTGTAATCTTTCTTTTATTTCTTTTTTTTTGTTATTGAATCAGTACAGTCATTTTATCATGCCTAGATTCTACTGATTACTTAACAAATCTAAGTGTCTATTTCCGAACTTATAAATGCGTGTGAATCACAAAAATAATATGGAGAGAGAGAGACAGACAGAGTTTTATTTATAATTTTGTACATGTACAATCCTTGCATCGTAATATTTATCGTGAATATTTTTAAAATTGCTTTATTTGTATGCGTAAGTTCTAAATCAATATAGTTCAAAACATCACTACTACTAGTCATTTATGTAAAACTTTATTTTGTAAGCTCATAGCGTTTATAGTTTTGTGCATTTGATTCAAAGTACTGAAGGGATTTTTTCTTGACCCATTATTGTTTTTTTTTTATTTCAAAAAAAAATTTCTAGAACAATGTATTAATACAAGTGTAATTTTAACTGAACATTAAGAAAGTTCACTTTTCTCACGTTTGACTGTAGATTTTAGTTTGTCGTTTGAATGTGTGTGTGTGTTTTTTTATTATATCTCTTGTTTTTCACCATCAAACGACCAAACTACAATCATGCATGATTTGATTTTTCTTTAAAACAAAACTAATTGTATCTTTTTATTCATCCAAATATTATTTTGTATAAACTTTTTTATTTGCATTGTGATATTTTTTTTGCCTGTATATGACTACTCCTTTTAAGATACTGTAGACGTACATTTTTCCGCGTGGGATTAATTTCCGCTATGTACGTGAACACAATTTATTAATTTCATAAACGCGGATTGAATAGAAATTCTGTTTCCGCGGAATTATGACCCTGTGGAATTACAGTACCTTTAATATGCTCTTGTATCAATGAAAAGAGCAGTCGTTTAGATCCAATAAATGCTTCAAAATCCCTTTTCATGTCGTCCTACAATCTGCGTTTTTGAATTTTAAACACGAGAGAGAATAGTAATTGTTGTACAGCAGACAGACAGGAAAAACAATATTGACACCATGTTAAAAATAAACACACTATCAGCCTGAGTTTTAGTTGAGGACAATAAACAAGGAAATAAATATGTTTATGTATTTGACTTTAAAAAAAAAAGAAGAAGAGTTCTAGATTTGCCGCGATGACCCAGTTTCGGAAAATTCATGTACCGGTCAAGTAGAGAAGCCTTTCTCCCTAAAATCTTTCCCCTGGAAAACTGGCTCTAGAGTAGGAACCCCCCCCCCCCGGAAAACTGGCTCTAGAGAAAGATTTCCCCTGCAGGAATCTCACTCTGCAGTCAATTTTCCGGGGGGAAATCCTACTCTGTTTAGTAGTTATAGAATGCGATTTCCCCCAGAACCAATTTCCCCCAATGAAATATCATTGCTCTACTTATTCTTGAGGAGGAATGGTTGGTACATTGCTACAAGTGTCCCTTCTTCAAAATGGTGTCTAGATGTACACGTATTAACATACATGTACGTTTATGAAAAATGAGCATGGAAATTTTTAATCCGATTTTTATGGTTACAGTCAAACCAATTTTTAAAAATCAAATAAATTGATGAAACCTGAGAGAACTATGTTTCATCTGCGTCTGTCTGTCCGTCTGTCTGTCTAGCTGTCCTATATGTGTCGGTGTGTCCCAAATGGTTTTCCACACATTTTTTCTAACTGCTTGAAGACATTGAGCAGAACAAACATGGACCTCCAAAATATCAGAGGTGGAATCAGGTGCCATAGATGAGTGGGCATCCCCTGCCGACCGGTCACATCCACCGTGTGCTCCTTGTCATGATCGGAAAATAACGGCAAAATCCGTCGTCAATGCAGTGTATAAATAATGGACTACAATTAGGATAAGAATGGTCAGTCAACATTTGACTCGACGATAAATTGTATTTGCTGACAAGGTCAATGTATCGACCATAGAACATACGAAATGATGACTTAAAACGGGACTGCTAAAATTCTTATTTCATCAACTTGTTTGTCAATAATTTACCTCGTTTTAGAGATTGTTCATACATAGAGAATGCTCTTGCATATCGAATCAACTGAGATATAGAAACTCTGTATGCAGGTGATGAAAGAATATTGCTGCATAAGTAAGGGAAGATGACGATAGAAAAGTATGTCATCACATTTATCATAGAGCTTAGTTGTAAGATTACCATTAACGTCATTTTCAAGTAAAATATCCAAATATGAAACAGATGTGACAGACTCTTTGGTATCCTTTATCTCAATCTCACTAGGATGTATTAACAAAAGAATGGAAATTACCATGGTTAATTGACAATATGTCATCGATGCATCTAAATGTCCAGTTGAAGGCCACAGCAAGTGTTTTTTTCTTTTCATGCATAAGATTTTGCACAAACTCTGCTTCATGTGAATAAAAGAGTACACATTGAGTCAATCTAATTTGATACCTGCCATATTTTCCTAAGAATTTTCAAAGTAGTAGTGAAAAGAGTAAAGAGTAGAATTGCATTTTAATACCCTTTTTAAAAAGCTTACGTTTAGTCATTGATACTTAGTTTTAATTTTGTCTCACAGTTTCCGTTATCAAATTTCTTCACATGTCGTTTTGAGCAATTAAACATTAATACATTAAATGACCACCATCCCCGATTTAAATTGTACACTGTAGTAAGTACAATAACATTTTATTTTCAAGCATGAAACTCTTGAAGAAATTGTTAAAGATACACTTGTCTTTTAAGTAAAAATTTTTAGGATGTTTAATACTATAGATACTGTCCATTCTATTATAAAAAGAATTTCTAAGGAAAAATAATGAAAATTTTAATTTTTTAATGTAAAGATTTTTATAAATGTAAGGACTCGGCAAAGTGCTTTTGAGTTAAAGAAGTAGTTCTGGTCTGACGTGTAATAAACGCGTATGTCACAGATTTGTCTCATGT